GGTTTGTCTGTCTGTTACTGCTTTTTGTCTGTCTCTGTGTGTCTGTCTCTCTGTGTCTCTGTCCGTCTCTCTCGCACTCTGTCGGTTTGTCTGTCTGTGTGTTTGTCTCTTTCTATTTCTCTGTGTGTCTCTGTGTCGGTTTCTCGCTCGTTCTTTCTCTGTCTGTCTCTCTCTCTCTGTCTGTTTGTCTCTCTGTGTCTTTCTCTCTCTCGATCTGTTGTTCTGTCTCTTTTTCTGTCTCTGTCTTTCTTTCTCTCTGGCTTTTTCTGTTTTTCATTCTTTCTCTTTCACTCTTTCAGTCTTTCTTTCTTAATGTCTTACTTTCTCTCTTTCTCTGCCTATTTCACACACTCTCCCATATAATCAACCCCCTAAACCTCATGCTGGACATTAATTCATGTCGTGATTGTCTACAGTGCTTAAACATCTTTATTGTTTTAAATTTGACACAATGTCACTATGATTATTAAAAGTTTCCTGACAAGTATGGGGAGTTTGGGCTTGATACTTTACTATGGTTTTAGCACATAACACAAATTGATTCTGTAACGTATAGATCTGTCACTGAATCGGGCGTTTAAAAAAAATCTTTGTTAATGCCTTATTGGTGTTAAGTTCAAATAAAATAACAGCAACTTGTGATATTTTGGGGGTGGACAGAGACTTCATTTATACTGCTTCTGTTCCAATCACAAGGATAATCACTGCTCTGGAACTTCAAACCAAATGTGGATGGTGAAGGCTCAAAGTACTGTGAACAATGGTGATAATGGGAAGCAAAGACATAAGTGCTAGACTGTGGTATTAACTTGTTTTATGTCAAAAATAATACAATAATTTTTCAACACTACTATTGTATATATCATGCTTTCTTAAATGTGTTGCCTTATTGCATACATTGAAACTCTGATACTTGGTCCATAGGTACCGTAATTTATTGTCCCCTTTTGCTTAGTGAAATGGGGGAATTGGAAATATCCTCTGTCCGTCTGAATTTTATGAGCATAACTTGAAATGTATGTGCAGTATTCAAAAAAGTTAAATCTGGTCCTCTGAACATTCAAAAAACAAAACAAAGCAAAAAAATGTAGAAACGTTTCGTCTCTCATCCGAAAGACTTCCTCAGTCTGAGGTGCTGTATTGAGCTCAGTCTCTTAAATAGCACCTTTAATTTATTATATTTAAGAGACATTATATATTAAATATTATATTTAATTTATTATATTTAAGAGACTGAGCTCAATACAGCACCTCAGACTGAGGAAGTCTTTCGGATGAGAGACGAAACGTTTCTACATTTTTTTTTCTTTGTTTTGTTTTTTTGGTTTTTTTGAATGTCCAGAGGACCAGATTGAACTTTTTTTGGATTTTTCTACCTGGATTATTGAGCATGCATCATGATATGTGCAGTATTGACTTCCAATTTGGTATGTGGTTGCATCTGGAAGAGATTCCTTTCAATAACTAGGTTGGCATGTCAAAATCCAAGATGGGCACCACCATCACACATACACACTGCCTGGCCAAAAGAAAAGTCGCCACCAAAAAAAAAGGTCATATACTAATATTTTGTTTGACCGTCTTTAGCTTTGATTATGTCATGCATTCACTGTGGCATTGTTTCAGTAAGCTTCTGCAATGTCACAAGATCTATTTCCATTCAGTGTTGCATTAATTTTTCACAAACATCCTTCATTGATGACCAGGCACTAGGCATGATGGGTGCATCACTTCACCTGCCTCTCTTCTTACCCTGATGAGCCCATCACTCTGGAGCAGTGTCAATCTGGACTCATCAGACCACATGACCTTCTTCCATTGCTCCAGAGTCCAATTTTTATGCTCCCTAGCAAATTGAAGCCTTTGTTTCCAGTTAGCCTCACTGGTTTGTAGTTTTCTTAAGGCTACACAGCTGTTCAGTCCCAGTCTCTTGAGTTCCTTCACATTGTGTGTGTGGAAATGCTCTTACTTTCACTATTAAACACAGCCCTGAGTGCTACTGTTGTTTTTCTTCTATTTGATTTCACCAAACATTTAAGTGATCACCGATCATGATCATTCAGGATTTTTTTCTGGCCACATTTCTTCCTCGAAGACGATGGGTCCCCACTATCCTTCCAGTTTTTAATAATGTGTTGGACAGTTCTTAACATAATTTCTGTAGTTCCTACAATTTCTTTAGATGTTTTCTTTGCTTGGTGCATGACAATGATTTGACCCTTCTCAAACAGACTGACATCTTTTCCACGAACATGTCATGTGTCTTTCAACATGGTTGTTGAAGAAATGAGAAGCAGCTCATTGCACCAGTTGGGGTTAAACAACTTGTTGCCTGCTGAAAGATAATCGTCCATGCAGTAATTATCCAACAGGAGGCTCGTACCTATTTGCTTAGTTCAATCCAGGTGGCGACTTTTTTGGGGCCAGGCAGTGTATATGACTATATTTATTTATTTATTAGATTTTTTTTATTTTTTGTATTTTTCATTTTTGTATTTATTTATTTATTTTTTGTGTGAACATTGTGAGTTGGATAACTTGAGGAAAAAATATGCAACTAGCCAACTTCCTTGTTGGTTTGTGGCTGCGTCTAGGTGTAAGAAAGGTTCCTTTTGAAAAATTGGGTTGCCACGTCATAATCCAAGACGACCACCACCATATCTGGCCACCCCTATCATTTGAGGAAACTGACTCTATTATTGCACCAGGTGAAGGATAAAATTGTTCCCACCTCTCCCCAAAATGTGTTGCTCTTTGCAGCCTTGAACAAGAAATAAAAACCTTCCTCTGTTTTTATACACAGTTGTACTCACTTGAATATCTTGAACATTAAACATTAAAGTTTACTTGCATTCCCTGTTCAGTCCATAAAAACACTCATCTGGAAAACTACAAACATTCACTATTCAAATCCTTCATTTTCAAGGGACATTGTTTACGGCTCGTTTGTCATTCAATTTTTTTTTATACCCATGAAGTGTCTGTGGTTTTAGAGTTGGTTGCTTCACATTTGTAGCATTGTCTGCTGTCATGCTTTAACTTTGTGTTCTCTGGACTTAAGTGCTCAAACGTTAAGAGGCTTACTTTGATCACTTTTCTTCAACACTGTCGCAACATGATTCTGTACAGAAATGGTTGTACATAAACTGAAAACTGACCCATTGTTTTAGGGTTGTAACCTTAGAATGAGAAGACCATTTGCAGCCAATTCATTATAACACTTTTCTAGAACCAAGACTAGGAAAGCTGCATTAGAGGTTTTAAAATGGTCAGCACACGTCCTTAGACTCAAAGCTATTGTAAACAGGTGACGGGTCCTTCGACCTGTGGTTTTTGATAAGTTGAGGATGCTGACAGCTGACTGGTGTATCTTTCTGTAATCTTCTGAGCTACTTGTAACTGGCTGGTTTTACTGTTGTGTTTCTGGCAGATTGCTTCCCAGCAGATTTTTTCTAATCTGTTTATATGAATTGTTAGTTCATGCAGCCCTTCAGATTTAACCGCAGAGCAGTTACAAAGACATTTTTCTCCCCACCTGGAGTTAAGAAAATGACATCTGCACTTTCAAAGACTTTTAACTGTGCTGGTATTGGTGAACAAGTAGTAGAAATTCTTACTACTGATGCTACTGGACAGATTAAATTACTCATAAGATATTTACTCTGTTTATTTATTTTTTTTTACTAATGGAACATCCTTTGAATTATTTCTTGTGATTACCCTCTTGTGAACAGTGGAAGCTGCAGAAATGTCTTGTACAAATGCAACAAACTGCTTAAAATGTTATAAAATATCAAGTAGTAAGTTGAAGGGTGAAGCAAAAACTAATAAGCCTAACATGCACATCTGATTAAAGATTTGAAATTATTGGCAACGTTTCTAAATTAGCACTGACAAGTAGATACATTTCAGGGTTTTTTTTCCTCTGTGCCAGAGTTAACCAAGCACTTACTGTTTTAACTGTTTTTTTAATCAGAAATGTTTGCTACAAAAAAGGGCACATTAGATAATATTAATTAAGCAATATTATGATTAATGCAAATTGACCAGCGATTGCATAAACGTTTTTATTTATCACTGTCTAACATTAAATCAGACTAAATCTTTTCTGTTTTAGGTCTTTTCGAATTCTCACATTTCTTTCTATTTGCAAAATGATCAAATTATTTTTTCGTTCTTTCTTCAAAGTCACAAGTTTCCATAAATTTTCTGTGTATTTGGAGTATTGTATTTGTTTGTAGGCTGCCTTGCTCGCACACCCTCTCTACGTACTAATGTTCTCTGGAACTGAGATCAGGGCTTTGTGATGTCCACTCCAAAAGATTAACTTTGTTGTCCTTAAGCTACTTTGTAACCAACCAACCTTGCGATATGTTTAGTCATTATTCGTGTGCAGACCCGTTTGTGCCCCAGCTTCCTGGCTGATGTCTTGAGATGTTGCTTTAATATTTTCACTGGATGTTCTTTTCTCATAGTTATATTTCTGTATGGCATGCCACCGTTTGTCTGTGGACAGTTTCTTGTCCAGGCTTTAAATTGATAACCTTTTAATATAGAAATGTCAAACTGCACAGCTGGACATCTCTTGGGTCAAGAACGATCCCTTTTAATTTCAAGATTACTAGAACAAAGGTCAAGGTCACAGGTGACCCCTTTGTAAAGCCTTGTTTGTGCTCCAGCTTGACCTTGAGTAGCATAAAAGTTGTGAATCGATTCACTTAGAACTAAAGCCACAACCTGTTAAGGAATATTTTCTTTTTTGTATTATTCTTTTTATTTTTCTCTTTGAATGTCTGTTGCTTCTTGCATTTGTCAAAGATGAACTCTATAATGTTTGTGTGAATAACATGTGGATGTTTTCGTTTAAAGGAAGGGGCATCTGCTCGGAAGGCCCAGACCCCAGCGCTGCAGCCTGTCCCCCGTCCAGGTTGGTGCTTTTGTTCAGATGTTGTTTTATTTAAGGCAACTCCAAATGACGCCCATTTATAGCACCTTGCCTGGCATCAAACTGTAAGAAATACTCTGTTAAACATTTTATGAATGTAGCCAAGTTTAAAAGGATACAGTTTAAGACCTTTTATTATACATGTCCTATGAAACTTGTTGGTGGGCTGCAGCAACTCTGTGTACGGTGCCGTGGCCTTGTAGTCCTGTTCGAGTTCGAGTCAAGGTTGCATCAGGAATGACGTCTTCCCAAATCTTTTGTGCAAGTTTGCTCCCTGTGGCAGCCCCTTCAAGAGGCAGCGGCTGAAGGAAAACAACAAGAGTTTTAAAAAGTTGTTTTTCTCTAGAAACAGATGTTGCTGCCCCTCTTTGCACACAGTCTGGTTTTTATCATTTTTGAAGCACACAAATAAAACCTTGATCACATTTACATTTACTTAAGATTTACTGAAAATGTTCGTACTTGAATGCTGCAAAGGTCCCAGACTAAAGTTGCAGAAGGAGTATGGACAAGTATGGAAATTTAAAATGTTTTGGAGAAACTTTGGCCCATAAAGTAGGTCACTGTTTCTGGAAAATTCAACTCCCTACGTATGACATGTGACCAAACCAAAACAAATATGTCCTTGATGCCTCGATAGATTTGTATAACACTGTCTCAAGATGCGTCCACAGCTTTTTTTTATTTTCATGCAACTGAACAAAGAGAATCAGTCCCAGGTTTGATGATGAAAGAAAAGAAAAGCTGGAATTTACTCTTTCTTGTTTTTTTTAAACCCTCTGAGCACTTTTGTTATATGGAGGGTTTAGAATGTTATTTTTTGCTAGTTTTTGTATTAATCTGTAAACGTCTCATCTTTTTATGCTCACAGTTTCACAAGCCAGACCTCCACCGAATCAGAAGAAAGGTACACCACGTCTTACCATTTCTATAGACAGCATGCAGTACATAATGATAATGTTGTGCAATACAAACTCATAGAATGTAATTTTATAGTCTTGACTGGCTCTGCAGATGTTAATCTTTTCGTTTGTCCTTGTTTTCAGGGTCCCGTACCCCCATCATCATTATCCCCGCTGCCACTACCTCACTCATCACGATGCTCAATGCTAAGGATCTTCTACAGGATCTAAAGTAAAGAAATTATTCTTAAAAACAACATTTTATGAGCAGAAGACAGAAAATATAGATCATGAAGATCATAGAGCTTGATCAGTGGGTTCTTTTTTTTTTTTTTTTTTACTGGAGACCACATCCTTTTTTAATATTATACTTGGTTGTTATTTCAGGACTTGTTCAGTGTTATTTCTACCTTGTTGTAATTATACACAGATTCAATTCAAATCCAATTCAAAAATACTTTTTAATCCCAGAGGGAAATTAAATTAAATTAAATAAAGATCCAGTCAGTTTTCACTTCTGCATGAGTTTCTGTTGTTGTTTGTTTAAAAAAAAGGACTTTGGAAGACAAGTAAAAACAACCGTCTAAAAATTGTATCTATAATTGTAAAAACGTGGTTTTAGGTGTGGCTACAAAAGTTCTTTTTATGTGTACATTAAAACAACTTGTTCCCTTTAAAAATAACAAAGTCAGAATTAAACTTTGGGAAAATGAAAAGTCAAAACATTGTTAAAATGTCCCCAGGTTTGTCACGTCAGAAGAGAAGAAGCAGCAGGGATTCCAACGTGACAACGAGGTTCTGCTTCAGAGGCGCAAAAATCAGCTTCAGCCCGGCGGAGCAATGCTGAGCGTCACAGTTCCATATCGTGTCATTGATCAGCCGCTCAAGCTGGCTCCACAAGACTGGTGAGCTTCTATTTAAAGTATCATTAACATTTGGTTTCAAACAGAACCCTTCTGTTTTCTCCGTTTTATTTTGCTGACACCAAAGTCTGAGCCTTTTGACAAGTATGTGCAGAAAGTTTTCAGATCGACTTCACTTTTTGCTATTTTATGTTGCAGACATGGTAAATTTTTTTTATCCTTGTTAATCTAAAACTTATACTGACTAGAGCCCAACCGATATGGAAATTTTGTCCATCACCAATACTGATATTGGGCGGGGCAGGCTAGTGCCGATAATCGGTATAATGGCTGAAAGGTTTTAAGTTTTGTTCACCCCAAGAATCTAAGAAAACATCTTCTTTTAAACCTGTTTTAACACTTGAAGTCTTGAAACAGTCTTCCTAACGTGCGTTCACATTTTATATTCTCCACTATTCACCATAAAGTTATTAAGTGTATTAACATAAATATAAATTAAACAGAGAAATGCCCTTCTCTGTTCATTGTTTAAAGTCACGTATAGTGAAAATATAATTAGTATTGACTGCAGCAGTTTTTTTCTTTGCAGAGAAGTAAATATTTCAGACAAATGATGCATTTCATTGAGGACAACAAAGATAACATTTCTAACACTGATATATTTACCCCTACATTAGATTTATTGTTCTGGATAAAGTTGTACAAGGCAATAGCCTATGCTAAACTTTAGCTTGGCAACTTGAGAGGAATGTAGCTAATGACGAGCAGGTTGGAGGATTGAAGATCATTTATTATTGTTGAATATTTTACAGATCAGTTACAATAAACTTACCATGCTCTGTTCAGTAAAATACGCTACACACTATTGCTCCCTGCTTTGGCCGTGCTGTGTCAAATGTACAGCATGGCCATAACGTGAAAGTACTCAGTAGTTTGCATGTACTCTCTGCTGGATATATTGCACAAATATGCCATTTACAAGTAAGGACATGGCTCTTTCCCAGTGTTTATATTTGCACATAATGGGACAATTATTACCGATATATGTCCCCCAACTCCTTTATCAGCCTAAAATATCGTCCCGTACCAATATATCGGTTGGCTCTAATACTGACAGTGAAACCAAACTTGTGGTGTAAATATATTAAATAGAAAATTAGACAAGTATTTAACATTTAGATAAGTATTCAAATGTTTGTTTGTTTTTCGGTAGTTCTTGATATGTCACTCAGGTTCCTCTTATTTTGCTTGATCTCCACTGAGATGGGGTCCACCGGTGGTAAATAAATTTACTGCAATTGGACCTGATTTGGAAAAGGACACAGCTCTATTCAATGCCTCCAACTGACCAAGCAAAAACTAAACCGTGAAGTCAACGAAACTGCCTGCAGAGCTCAAAGACAGGATTTTTGCACAAAACTGTGAAAGGATATAAAATCATTTTTGATACAGTGAAGGTTCCTCAGAGGTCATTGGTTCCTCTGATTAATCTTCAGAGTTCTTGTATGGAGAATGGGACTTCGGTTTAGAAGGACAACCAGAACTGCAGGACTCTCCTGTTCTGGACTTTATGGGAGAGTAGCTGGTAAGGCCTTTCAGAGCAAAACACTTGAAAGTCCACTTGAAGGACTCTTGACAAGATTCTCTGGTCTGATGAGATGAAATTAGTCTTTGGTCTGAATTATAAATGCTATGTCTGAAGAAAATCGGACACTGCTCATCACCTGCCGACACCATTCCCATAGTGATTTATGGTGGTGGTAGCATAATGACATGGGGGTGCTTTTTACAGCAGGGACAGGGAGACTGGTATGGGTTGAGAAAAAGCTGAACTGAGCAAACAACAGAGATGATTTCAATGAAAACCTGTTCCACAGAGCTCAAGACCTAAGACTGGATCAAAGTTTACCTTCCAACATAATGACCCAAAGCATACAGAGAAGACACACAGGAGGGGCTGAGGGACAACTGTCAGCAAGCTATTTCATAAGACTTCACAGGCCATGCTCCCTGTGGCCATTCATAAAGAACAGACTGAGACAACCACATCCCACTCAGGTGTGAACTTTGAGAAATGAAGCAAGCAGAGCAGAACCAAAAGAGGTTTGGAACAGAACTCAGCTGAACTGAAGTGGAGCATGACACATTAACTGTGTGTCAGATGTATCCCTCATGTCATTTACTAAATTTGGTAATTAATTTACTGACTTTAGCTATCCCTTTTTAGTTTATTTTATTTATTTAGTTTTTACAAAAAACAAAGTTGCTATTCATTCTCATCAATATTCCCTCGAGAATAAATGTTTGCTGTTGTTTAATCCCACAAGATGGCAGTTAAACACTGTCCACTGTCCATCACATTACTGAGCTGCAGCACCACAGCCTTCTTTTTTTCCATGTTGGCCAGCATGGCTTTGTTACTACCTCGACTGGCAGCTCAGAAGTGCACCAGAGGTGTGCTGTCTTTGACCCGCCTCGGTTTGTCTTCTGAATGGACCAAGGCGGCCAGAGCACATCTCAGTTCCAGACTGAGACGTCTGCTGAATAAGACTAACGTCTTAGAGTGGACCAACAAGAGACATGACTTGAATCTAGGCTGAAACGATTCCTCGAATCATTCGAGGACCTCGATTACAAAAAATCCTCGAGGCTAATTTGCCTCTAAGCTTCGTTAAACTATTCAGAACACTGTGGTCTAGCCGGAAGGTTTTTGTGTTACACAACGCTAGCGCTTCCAGTAACGTGTATGTGCTAAGTTTGTAGTTATGGAGGGAATGGAGATTGCGTAGAAGAAGAGCCCCGAAAACAACAAAAACTGTCAAAAGTTAGGGAACATTTTAGGCTAAACAGAAATGACAACAGTGTAATACATCTACTGCAAAGCAGAACTGGAGTTTCCACATCAGCACGTCGTCGATGTTGCAGCGTCTGAAGAGAAAACACCTGCTGTAGCATCAAACTCATCTGCAGCTGTAACAGGTATCATGTTCTCTCTTTGCAAAATACGTTCACCTAAATGTGTGATAATCTGTCCTGTTATAGATGTAAAATGAGGCATATTTTTGCTAACGTTAAATCTACTGACTAATCATAGTGGCTTCCTGGCAGGGTCTGTATGTTGTGTGAGGAACAAAACTGTGCAGGACTTGATGCAAGTTTGTTAAAGATAAAAGCAGCAGCAGACTGACACATTTATTTATTGCTGTACTTTCATCCTGACTTAAACTAGATATTTAGGGTGAATATTTCAAGTGTAAATGTATTTAAACAAGTTAGTAGGATTTTTTTTCTTCTTGCTACTGCTGTTTATGACTGAAAACTGTGATTAATCTGCATTTATTACTAATGTCATATTTGTTTATAGCTAAGCAATCAAGACTAAATAATACAGTCTGCAGAGCTCAGTGTACAAACTCAAACTGTACATTATCTATCTTACTCAGGTTCTAACATAAAGATTCCATTCAGTTTTCCAATCCATAAAAAATTTATAGCATTTAGATTGTTATGTAATGGTTAAAAATAATTCAGTGACAGAGGGTTTTAATTAAAGCATTCTCAAACCTCACACATAAATAAAAGCATAAAATGCATAAATCAAATACAACTGACATACTAATGTTACTTTGATTGCAGCAGGTCATCAGAAAGTGTAATTACTTAACAATACTACATAATTTTATAATATCCAGTGAAGTACTCTTGAAAATGTATTAAGGAATAACAATGAACACACAAATAAAAATTTTATTCTTCTTCTTTTCAGTAAATGCAGAGTCATACGCTGGACAGCTTCATGCAAAGGGCTCCAGGATGTTGTTTGTGCAGCAGCTGAGTTCACAAACAGCATTTTAAATACGATCATCACAGACATGCAGCCGCTGTCCGTGGTGGAAGATGAAGGCTTCCAGAAGATCATCTCCACCTTCAGTCCAAATGATGTCCTTCCTTCCAGATCCTACTTTGTAAATTCCATTCAGTTTTCCAATCCATAAAAAATATTTTACAGCATTTACATTTTTATGTGATGTTTAAAAATAATTCAACTTAAGCAATAAAATATTTAAAAAAGAGGAATTAAATGGGTTGTTTATTTAACGTTTTTTGTGTATTTGTATCACTCATAAAATGAGTACGGTAGTTACTGCAGAACCCGACACATTTTGTTTTCGATTACCCAATTAATCGTCAGGATAATTTATAGATTACCCGATTACTAAAATATTTGTTTACAACAGCCCTACTTGAATCCTATCCAACATTTCTGGAGACCTGAAACTGGCTCCACCAGCAGTTCTCATCCATCTGAATTAAGCTGGAAAGAAGCTCAGCAGAACAACAGGAACTGCTGTCAAAGGTGCTTCAGTTCTGTACGAAGAAACGGACATAATTACATAAATTTATATTTTAGGTTTGTCTTCCCTAATGTATAAAATTTTATCAAGTTCTCTTAACAATTTTGAGTCAGGTCTCCTGGACAGATTCTTTTTAGTTGAGACGTTTTGTTTTGGGTTTTTTTTTTTTTTTTTTGTTTGTTTTTTATCCAAAAGACTTCTTCCGTCTGAGGAGTTGTAACAAACTCAGTCTTATTCAATTCAGTTCATTTATATAGCACCAAGTCACTGTACAGAAATATTATAGATTATTACATTGATTACATTATACATTCTAAGCAACATCTTTTCATAGTGGATCAACCAGATTTCTGGTGGCTGCTAAAACTATTTGTTCACATGTACAAGGAGGACCATCAGCCTAACAGCCGATCATTGGTGCCCTGATGGCCAGTGGCTGTTTAGTTTCCCAGATGTAAGACTGATCACCCTCCTGACGCTGAACAACATACACAATATTACTCTGTTTGTGCCGGGGGACTGCATCTTTGGGATGCTGGGTACCTTTCTAAAAAAATCGGTACCATGTCGGTACCTTCACTTCGGTGTTGGTTCCTGGACGGTTCTTTTTTCGGTACCAATTTTGTAATTACTATTAATTCTAACAAGAATAAAATTACGTTACGCATTACAGTGCAAATTGTGAGG